CCTTTCGTACATATTGTTCAGTTTTAGTCTTATCTTTCACTTAAAACCACCTTTAGTTTTTAATTTTTTGGACGGCTCTACCTCCGTGTGTTCAACCCAAACAAATAATAACATTACTCATCACATATAACACAGCCAATGGTAAAGGTAATGGTGAAGTGCACGGTGCATGCATTTGCCGTGCTTAATTCACGTCTACAATGTTTTTTCATCGTGTCGTCCGACAGTAAAACAGGATATTCCTTTCTCTACATATTCCGATTGGTGGATTTGAATGATACAGATGATCTTTAAATGATGTTTTATCAATGGAACATTGACACGTGGTCTGAACGTGGAAAAAGATATGTTAACCATGATAAAAAAAATAAAACAATAATAATAAATAGAGATTCTCAATTATAGACACAAGAGAGCTCAACATGAATACTGTCTTTTTTCTTGAAAAATATGGAAATTCTCACTATATGAATAGTGTGACAATCTTTGCAGATATGTGTATATGATTTACTTTTTATATCAGTTGGCACACTGCACATTTTTCTGCTATTGGAACAAATTGGACTATACAAACTCCTTAATTATGTTTTCGTTTTGACCGTGTCGAGTTTGAATTAACCTTCGACGCTGAACCTGCTATTTTTAAACAGGAATATCTACTAGTATACTTGTTCTGCATTGTTCTGTTTGTGTCCAGATTAGGACAATAGAGTGACCAGACAACTTTGAGTTTTCTTAAGATGTGGTATAAGTAACTGTCAAGTAAGGGAGAACAGTTATAATTAGCATGCATCAGTGAAGTACAGAAAGAACAATGGATGACGTCACAACCACGTGTTAACAAGAGTGAACATACAGATGTCAAAGACAGAGAGAGAATGAGGGACCTCCTTCGTCATGCTTCGATGATAAGTATGTCACGGGTGATGGCACTTTTTATTTTTCAATGAACCTACATATATACCGGTTTACTACTAAAACATGTCTTTCTAAATGTTGTGTTCCGTCAGTGGATGTCTGTGACATGATGTGCGAGCCATAAGGGAGTTATCTTATGACACGTTAATAATGGTCTTTATCGAATCATGTTACGACTGCCGGCAGAAAACAGTTATTGTTGTTATCTACCCGACAATATATCACTTCACCACCATGCTAGGCCAAAGTTGACAAAAACTCTCACAGCTTCATTGTGAAAAACGTTCGGACACTACTAATATACGGTCAAATGTCCAGTCACGCCACAGTGAGGATATAAATTACCGTACAACACCACTCTTACATACGACCAAAGATGGCCAAACTTTCCCTTTTTCGCCACACCAATGTAAAATTACATATTAACCATACTTAACTCAACACCTATCCGTAAAGGACGTGCTGACCACAGTGATACACGTGTTGGCCTTACTTACCTAACGCCAATCTGCTGTAACACCAACATGGACGTGATAAGTTGGATGACCTTACATGACATGATGCAGGTTGATGTGTTAGCAATGGGACCCTGAAGCTGATAACCTCCCCACGAACAACATACGGGTTTCTACAATGTTTACGGGTACGTGTCATGGTTCACGGTCATAGGGTATTCACTGTAGCGGCAAAAATCCGATGTGACATTGTGTGTTGACAGCCCAGCAAAACACAATATCTAAGATGGTACATTTTCTTTCGTGTGAATATTTACGGTATAGAGTTATCCCTTTTAAACGTGGCAATTTTTATGACATTAACTTTTAAAGCGCTAAGAGTTGTAAGTAGGGACATATAGAACAATTGTTTTGAGTAACACGGATTTGTGACTTGTTGACTGGGAATCAAATTTCGGTCACGTCTATACACTCGCCATAATCTCGTAGGAATATAAACAAGATTTCTGTAAATGGGCAAAGAATTGTGGGGAAAAAATAACAACATGCCAACATAAATCATCGCCCAAACTCAAATTCCATATATTAGGCCAAGATATGAATTTCAAAAACTTCATACGGAGACACCTGAAAACCTACAAGGAAAACAAGGCCATGTGTTCCGGAAGAGTAAGCGTTTTCTTCTTCATTGACGACATCCGCCATGTAAAGTGTCGCGTTCTCAAATGAGAACAAGGTATACAGCAACGAAACCAACATGTAAACTAACGAGCATCAAACACATCCAGCTTCATGTCTCACAAAAAATCGAATATTTCTCAATGAGATCACTATGGTAACCATAAAACTTCCCCATGGTTTCATCAACTCGCATCTTTTGAACCCTTGTGTTACGAGTTTGTCCGTCAGTTGCAAACTTCTTGCAGGGAAATCGGGATAATAGGAACAGGCCCTTGAATATCAAACCATTTTTTTTACAGGAGAAATGTTTTTAGAAGAGGTTGTTAAAGATTGGTCAAAAGTTCTTTGGAGTTCTTCAAAACCCACATGAATTCTATTTCTTGATTAAACAGCATCACAATAAGACTGTAACCCAGATTTGGTTTTGGAAAAGGCTTGGTTTAACAGCTAAACGAACCAGCAATAAAACGTTGTTTATACGGATTCTTGTAAAGTGCAGGGAATCTATATAAACGGGAAGAGTTCGTATCCTTATCAATAAATAACAGTCAATCTAAATAATTGTAATACCGAAGTACGATTAGCTAGTATTTCGTCTTTTGAAAGATTGCATAATGTATAGGTGGGATTTCCTTGTTATCAAACAAGCCTATTTCTTGCTGTATACAGGAAATATAAAAATGTTTGCAGACAAGGGTCAAGTTATTGGACGCCTGATCTGCATGCACAATAACATACCTGTCATTTAAAACTTGAAGTGTGGATTTAACATTAGGATCGAAGAGAGTTGGCCTGTGTTTTGTTTTCATTTTCTGCTTCAAGCTACAAACTCTTTTACGAATGATGGACTGAATTGACTTAACCCTCGAATGCAGTATGTTCTCGTTTCAAACATCCTCTGACATAGTTTACAACAGAATACGTAAAATTCATAATCCAATTAAAGGACGAGGTTTCACGATATTTAGGACCCTTCATGAAAAGCTCTCGTAGCTTAACTTTTTGAACAATGCTTACATCTCCTGTAATTTAAGTAATGTCATGCACTCCAAAAGAAAACCGGGTTAGTGACGAAGCAACTAGGCATATTAATATCACAAGAATGGAGAGATAACTATGACAGCTTTCTCATAGTCTTGTCTTTACCTTCAGTCATTATTCGATATCTAACACCGAACTCAAAATATTGATATCACAACATATCATACCAACTGAGAAATGCGAAAGAAGTGCCAGTATTTTTTAATCACAAGACAAGAAAAATTCACAGAAAGGAAATTGAAATCAACACACGAATCAGAAAGCTAAAAATTCAACTACCTAATGTGTTAGTCTATAGATTCCATGGTTTCAAGTTAATAAGTGCTGGTAAAAAATGACGAAATGTAGAATATACACATGCGAACAGAAGGGACGTGTGTCTTGTACAATCTTCGATATTGTAGACGGTAAACATTGTTTGATTACTTTTATTCCCTATGGTTTGTCGTAACTAGCAATGCCACATTTAAGTTCACTGGAGGAGTGACACAGTTCAGAATATACACATTTTCTAAATTATAATATCCATTTGTACATGAAAATTATCAAATTTACTGAACTATGGAGCTAGTGCATTTCTCCCATCTACATGTTTCCTCGGTCGCCTCCTCAGAACAGGGACTTGGCACTAATTCCAACCAACGGATCGTATATAAGTATTATTTAGTATCACAGTATATGACATATATTTGTGGGTTGGAAAGTCCTTGTACTCCTTGGTGTCAATATTTAGGCCTTAGCATCACTGAGGAGTGCTAGAAGGACGAAACAGTTGTGTGATGTAGCATCACCGACAAGTGCTAGAAGGACGAAACAGTTGTGTGATGTAGCATCACCGACGAGTGCTAGAAGGACGAAACAATTGTGTGATGTAGTATCACTTACGAGTGCTAGAAGGACGAAACAATTGTGTGATGCAATGTAATTTATTGTTTGACATTTATCTCATACTAAATGTGTCTATTGTAAAATCTTAAAGAAGATACATGAACAATGATTTGCTAAACAATGAAGTTTTACAGTAAACCCCACTTTTTCCGAAGTAGAATTTACCGATATTTTGCTTTTCTCGAAGTAATGAAATTTCCCCAACTGAGCCCCTAAATAAATTTTTACCTGTATGAACGAAGTCGCTATGTATGATATACTACTTTGTACGATGTGATTTGAGGTTCCCCACGGGGTAATTTACTTGCCTGTACGAACCTTCGTCACTCTCGTGTAACAAATTTGTACTTTGTCTCGACAAGAATACTGACAGTAGCATAGTAAATCGTTGTAAAAACATCTTACTATTCATATCTAGTCATTATACACTGTATTCGTAGAGAGAAGCTTGGGAAAATGTCTTCTCCTCGGAAAAGAAAAATACCTGACATACAGACCAAACATGAAATATTGTATGTAGACAAAGGATTACACTCAAAAATGGTATCCTTAAAACTTATGGAATACCACAGAACTTCTTGTGTACTTTATCAAAAAAATAAACTGTAGATAGAAACTGCATTCAATACTGTAACTTTCAGTCCTAAATGTTAATATTTACAGGTTGCCAACCACTCAGATATCGAGGAAGCCCTTTTCAAATGGTTCCACAATGTAAGGGACAAAATCATTTCTGTTAATGGACCAACATTATCTGCAAAGACAGAGGAACTTGCCTGTGAACTTGGCTATGATGATTTTAAACTGTCAAAGGTTTTATTGAACGTTTTAAAAAGCCGAAGGGTATCTCAAGTAAAGTGTCCGCAGGGGAAAGTTCATCAGCAGACGACTGTAAAAGCATAGAAAATAAAGTCGGTGGAATTATTGAAATGTATATAATAAACAGATCTTTTGTTGAAATTCAGAGAAAAAAAACCCAAAAATAGCAAAGCTTTTTATCATTAAGTATACCTTTATTAGTCATCATATTATATATATATATCATGAATTATACAAAATCTCATCAAAATTGAAAATATATGGGGTGAAACATATCTATATAAAAAGCATACAAAAATGTATATAAGTCCATACATCTAGTCTCTTTTCAAAAAGAGAAAAGGAAAGAATAACAATCTTAATTTTTTGCTACAACAAAAGCAGTCAATAAACTTGTAGTCAGATTTCCCTGACAAAATTGGTTTGATATTGAACCATAGAGTATTTGAAACACCTTTCCCATTATTTCAAGTGTACATCTTAAATGGCTAAAAGTGTTCTAATGATAAAATTACCTTCACCTTACATGTGCTCTAAAAAAATCACCTGACGTTAGTGTTCTTACCCTGGTATCTTGGTACCCTGAACCCTCTTCTCTGTTCCTTCTTTCCTGACACCTCCTTCCCTGTACCCTCTTTCCCATACCATGGCAGCTGAGTTGTCAAGACGTCTGGCTGTCATTATCAATAGCCTTCTACCCCTGGGTCGCAGAGGCCTACATGGGCCGGGTACTTGCTGCAGATTTGTTTTGTAAGAACTTTCCTCCACCACCCAAACCTGGCACTTTTTAAAAATTACACTGGGATTGGTAGTATGTAAAGTAACAGTAAGCCAAACTTTCCTATACGGGGCACTAGCATCAGTTACATGTTTTGTCTACCTGATATCCATCATATATATGTGTAATGTTATCAAGAACTTCAGCAAAATTTTACATAACATTTGTTCATAACAAAGGACCTTTTGTACAACTTGAAATTTCTACGGATACACACGTTACCTAAGGCCATATTTGAAAGGAGCAGCAAAATGTATGATATACCATAATACCTGAAGTTATATATCAGACTGAAAAAAACACCTTCATGGCAAGCTTTTGCAGTAATTATTTTCATCAGCAGGTGTTAATTGCAAACAGCAAGATCACATTAAAACTTGGGGCCTAATCATGTAAGAAAAGCCCTCAGTTTGGGGCCTCAAAGAAATCAATTAGTTGAACTGAAGCACTGATACGTTTTCTTTGCCTTATTTTTTTCATAAAGTTTGATTTCAAAATAAACATTGTTTTTCTCAAAATACATAGATAGGCATATAATAAAATCCTAAGTGAAATTGAAGTATTAATTATTTTCATCTGCATCAAATGAGAAAATAGATTTAAAGATTATGTATAATTATGTAAGGTACAACAAAACAAACATGAAGATAATGTTAACAGATGTAATAAAAAAAAAGCATGGGAATAAGATTGACATAAACTTATTTGCACCTTAACAAAATAACTCATACTGCTCACCTGGATATTTCAACACTGGCATGATTTGTAACTCAAATTAGTTTATATAATTTGTTTTTTATCAGCACCATGAGGGATAAATCAATTCCTGTATAAAACAGGACTCCTCCAAATATGTTCCATAATATATTTGTTTAAAGTTGATAAACTTCTCGAGAGGTTTTTAAATATATTCTATTCAGATCCAAGTTACCACCTAGAAAATCAAAATACCACATCTTTTATCTACTTTTGGCCGAGGTACTCATTTTTTTCATTTTTATCAAAACAGAAAGGTGTTTGTTTTTTGTTTTTTGTTTTTTTTTGTTTTTTTTTATGCTTATTGAGTCATTGTCGTTAGAGATGTCACAAATTCTGTTATATACAAGCTAAAATGTCCATGTTCTAGATCTGATTATGGTTATATAACCCCTCCACTGATACTCAAGGGTTATGCAATTTCTCAACAAATTTTTAATTTCCCAATTAGCCATGCACTTTTTGCCACACCCCTTCTTTATGAAATAGGGAACAGTGGAATCCCTCCAGGGGATACCTGATATAATAAGTAAACTCTTTGTCTCCTCAGGATTATCAGAAATGAATGGAAGGACAAAAGAACCATGGACGACGGATGCCAAGCAAGAGCGTAACTACACATGTTAAATTGAACCAACTGAACCACGACCTCATAATCACAACTAATCTAACAATAAAAACAATATCTTCAAACTGAGAAAACAAGTAAGAACTTGCACCAATTCATGCATTATGCTGGAATGAAAATCTCCTAACAAACAACTGAAAAACTGTTCAAGCTGCATTGGGTAATTCAGCTACAGCCAATTATCATGAAGACTATAATATACAATGTGTTGAATGATAAAGACAGGGAAATATTTTTTTATGAACAGCCTAAAATAAAAATGTTGTAAAAGCTTCCAGCTACAGTCAGCCTGATCAGTAATAAATATCATACGTGTAGAGATCGTTTGATAAATCTTCCTGTATCACTTGCACAATTACTGTAAATTACTGTAGATGTAAAATTAAATCCAGTCTTTTCACTGGCTGTCTATTTAATGCACTAGACCTCCTTCATAGGCATAAACTCCATAACTCTTCACTGATATAGCGTAAGGTGTCCCTACATAATATATTTACTACAGTAGGTATAAGCAATATGAATCAGAAGTAGACAAGTCCTAGTATAGAAAAATACAAAAATAATAAAGAGCAAAAATGATTATGGTATAATGATGATAAAATAAATGTATTATCAAATAAGTAATGAAAAATCAAGTTACAAAAATATTCAAGCAACCATGACCAGGAAAATATACAAATGATATCTACATGGCACAAATTTCATTAAACCACAAAAAACATCTCACATTCTTAACCAAAACCATCAAAACAGTAACAAGCTTTTTATTTCACAGCATATTTCTTATTTGTTCATTTAAATTGTTTAACTATACTTATATCTGCATTTTGAAATAAAAAAAAATCTAAAACAAAAAACATCCAATATATATTGGTTAGTATATTCTTTACCCCACTGCAATCAACATCTCCATACCCCTATGTATACATATCACAAACATAGACATTTAGCAGGAAACCACTAGCAGGCCTCACCTTCCAGTAAAAGCAGTTTATTTTATAAAATATATACATCAGGCATGAGCAGCCAAGAACAGTAACTCTGACAACCAAGTAATGTTTCAGGTCAAGGATGAAAATTTTGACAAATTCACACATTTCAGTTTTTAATATGTAATTCATATTGTGAAAAATAAGGAAAAACACCAAACACATTAGGAAATACAACATGTGTCAATTTAAATCTTATTTCAAATATTTAAAGTAAGCATTAGTTTCCAAACATTCAATAAAGACCAGTAACTAAGTGTAACAAACAAGTGTACAGGTAGAAGCCTTGTCTGTCAGTATGTCAATACCAAAATGCCAGTCCCCCAAAACCTGAGATGTTGACAAAGTAATTCCTAATGCAACATTTATGTACAACTTGTGGAACATCACTTCAAATTGGACCATCTTTCAATTGATTTGATAAACAAATTAGTAATGAGATTTCAAAGACATAATAATATGGTCACTTTCATTCACATTTTTTATTGTAAACCAATTCAGCTTAAACTCTTGACTGGCATGACAAACAAGAAAATCTTTTATATAAGTATGTTCAATTGAGCCAAGCCTATCTGTTTAACACTGTACATAATCTATATTGTATACATGTCATGTGTCTGAGCCAGATGGTTATGACAAAATTGCAGGTTTCCTGGGGCAAAGGCATTATCACATCAATTACCTTGTTAGTATTACAGTTAAATTGGTACATTGGGCTAATACCAGTGAAAGTGTATTTACATCATGCTCCTGGTCATGTAGATAAACATGATAGCTGAATACATCACTTTTGTCAACAAATTGTACAGAGTACTCTCCCTTGGGTTGTCATCTTGTTCTCTGTATCATGTTATCATCTTTCATTACAATTTGTGATGATTTGTCAATGAGTAAATGGTCAGCATATTGTTTCTCCTTGGTACCAAAAATATATCTTTATTAACTAGTTCAGCAATTTCTATCATTGTTATAGCAGTCAACATTTAAAACTTAACACACCCACGCCTCAACTCTCATCCTAGAGCAGCATCAAATAGCTATTATAATCAGAGAAATTACCTCCCCCTGACAACTTATCATATAGATCTTTTCTTCTTAATACAACTACAATGAATTCCCTACACAAGTTTCTGTATCAGCCAATCAACAAATGAAGAAGATGACATTTTATGAATCCCTGGAAATTCTTGTTGCTATAGTTACAACTTGGCTGGTTCTACTTCTTCAGCTGTTCCTTCCCTTGTCAGTTCATTAAGCTTTTTACTGCTTTCTTCAATGAATTTCTATAACAGCAAATAAAAATCATATTACATAAGTTATTTGCCAGGAGAAGTAATGGGCTAAGGTAAGTTATTTCTGGATTCAGGAGAAAAATGGCCTCTGTCTGTATGAACAAATATATGATAAGTATTACATACTATAAAATTAAATGATACGGTGAAAGAAGGCTGGTATTGATGGGACTTTATTTTCAGTATTATTTTAAGTATCAGAAGTGACAATATATTTCTAAGATGGCAGCTGCAATGTCCTTATATAATACTTTGTACAGTAAGATTACTTTACTAATCACGCGTCCCTCTAACACAATCAAATCACTTGCCTTAATCATTGATGTGTAAGAAACATATTGATTATTGCTAAAGCAATACATGTTCCATACCAGACCTTGTAAACACTGTAATGATTGATAAAGATCATGCTCTTTGGTATTAATTAGGAAAAAAGGTAAGTATATAATTAGTTTGTAACTAATTTTAATGTAACAATGCCAAAAAAAATTATGACAATCTGACAACATAGTTTCATCACCAATGTGTAATAATATCTTATGGTCATTTGTATGAAATCCTGTAAGGAATGAAGTCACACGAGCACTGATTTGACCTTGACTCAATAACCCTGAAACTCAGACCTGTCCAAGATATTAGGTACTTTATAGGTATATGATGAAGCCGCTAAAGCGTTAACAAACTTAAGTGTTAAGTAGGAACATACACAGACAGATCGATGAAGTGACAGTGAGGAAAACTTTAGTCCATCCAGTTTGACCAGTAGGGGATTACCAGGTAAAAATCATTATTTTACTTACATGTAATTCCTGACTGGCATAATAACGTCTTTCTGGTGAGCCATCATTCATTTCAACATCCTCACAGAAGCACAGGAATATTGCGTCAATCACCATCTATATCAGTATCAACCAGAATCGTTAATATACAGCTCCTAGCTGCTAGAGGATTCTGTTACCTTAACAGTCTTTATCACATGTCATGGTGAAATGTTAGTGGTATAAAATTACTGTAAGTTCAAATACTCCCTTTTTTGTTTGTTAATTGTTCTTATTTAATTTGACTATCATCAGATTAAATTGATTTTAAAAATGCCCAATTCTCCAATTAGAACAAAAATTCAGCTTGGCGTCTTATAACCTTACCTCGTATATAGACAGGAAACAGTGAGCAACAAAGAAAGCAAACACACAGGTGAGTAGGACCGGAATAGGGTAGTAATGAAGACCTTCCTTGTCCTGAAACATTAACATGTTCATTATATCTAAAATGAAACGTGTTTTTTTTTTTTAATTTGGAAAGCAATAATATTTATAATGTTTCCACATAAGAAATTTACAGGTGTGGAAAATATCTTTCAATGGAATACAAAAATAATACTTTATTTCACTTTGTCTTAATAATGTAAATTTGATATCAGATAGTTTAAAATTTCTATTAAAATACATAGGTATCCAAAAATAAGTAACATGTAACTAACTTATAAACCAGATCTTTTGAAAACCATACACTGTAGAATAATCAAAGTTTAAGATCAATTCATCACTACAGACTATTACATACTAACTATCTCACTGTGCAAAATTTTGCAAACTGAATAATTTTGTTTTTGAATTATTCCTAGCATATCTTTGGAAATCAAATTTAGTTGCAATCATTTGGTGTCTATTTAATCTCTAACCTGACATAACTATTATACACTAACCTGATATAAAATTTCATATACTGACCTTGAACCTGATAAAATGTTATATACCGACCTTGAACCTGATTAAAAATATTACATACTGACCTGGAGCCTGATAAAATGTTATATACCAACCTTGAACCTGATTAAAAACATTATATACTGACCTTGAGCCTGATAAAATGTTATATACTGACCTTGAACCTGATAAAAAAATTATATACTGACCTTGAGCCAAATGATGCCCACTGCTGCAGTGGCAGCCATCACACCAATTTTACCCAACATCAGAATAAAGTCTCCAACGCTATTAATAGCTACCACACGGAGGGCATTATTGAATAACGTCAAAAAGGCCTGTAACAATGTAAAGGCATATTGACACAACCATCTCAGTCATATCTACACAAACAGTTCGGTATTATCTCAACAACACTAAAACAGAAGGCTGTTATAATTATAACAACATGAGCCAAAAGCTAAAGACGATTTACCTGATGCTAACTATAATGTTTTCAAATTTTGGATTCTGATAACATTAAGCAGTATTGCATTTGCATAAAGTTAAATGTTCAATGGTATAAAGCAATTATTTCTTCCTGAAAATACACGACAAAATCACATAATCTTTCATGCTTAAAATGGATAAATAACTGTTTTTCCTTTTCCAATAGAATGAAGGCAAAAATCAGCACCTTTCACAAAAGAATTATCAAAATGTAATATTGATTTAAAAATGGAATACAACATGCACATGGTAAATAAAATTGAAATTGCTTTTCGTTTCATTAGTTTCATGTAATATTTGATACCTAAAGTGTCAGTTAACAAACTTGTCATCAAGTTTTAAGCTATGAATAGAGATACATAATTGAATCTTGCCTTCTGCCCAGATTTTGGGCGAAACGAGCATCAAAGAAACAGTGCTTGGGAAATAAGAAATCGCAGTCAACACAATAATATCAGATAATAAATTGCCTGACCAGAGGTCTCTTATATTATAGCTGTTGGTAGAGAAGAAACTTACCTTTTTGGCTGATGAACAGAAATTGGTTCCTCTTATTGCTGTGTGAAAAAAAAGATGTATTTCAGCTCAGGCATAAAGGTAGGAGTACAATCTATAAGATCTTCTAACAAGAGTTCTGTTGTCATTAGTAATAATACTACACAACTAAAGACATTCCAATGAAAGTAACTAAGTGTGGAGTTATATGATAACTGAAATCATTTTGAAATGTCTTGAGAAAAAAAATCCAACTTTGGCATAGGGTTTCAAAATTGGCTTAAACATATCCACAATTTTGAACCTATTTTTGTTGTAAGAAATCACTTTAGCATCACTTCATTATTTGGTTTCATCACAGTCAAGACTGTGCCAAAACGTGGATCCTTAATGCCCCATAAAAAGGCTATTGAAAATTCACAAATCCAGGATATCATACACAACTACTACATTACACTGTTCAGTGAACAAACTTAATATGACAAAGAATCGACCTACCTACAACAGTGTAAAGCATACATCAACCTACCTACAACAGTGTAATGCATACATCAACCTACCTACAACAGTGTAATGCATACATCAACCTACCTACAACAGTGTAAAGCATACATCAACCTACCTACAACAGTGTAATGCATACATCAACCTACCTACAACTGTGTAATGCATACATCAACCTACCTACAACAGTTGTAAGCATACATCAACCTACCTACAACAGTGTAATGCATACATCAACCTACCTACAACAGTGTAATGCATACATCAACCTACCTACAACAGTGTAATGCATACATCAACCTACCTACAACAGTGTAATGCATACATCAACCTACCTACAACAGTGTAATGCATACATCAACCTACCTACAACAGTGTAATGCATACATCAACCTACCTATAACAGTTTTCAGTAAACATCAACCTACCTACAACAGTGTAATGCATACATCAACCTACCTACAACATAAGCATACATCAACCTACCTACAACAGTGTAATGCATACATCAACCTACCTACAACTGTGTAATGCATACATCAACCTACCTACAAAAGTGTAAAGCATACATCAACCTACCTACAACTGTGTAATGCATACATCAACCTACCTACAACAGTTGTAAGCATACATCAACCTACCTACAACAGTGTAATGCATACATCAACCTACCTACAACAGTGTAATGCATACATCAACCTACCTACAACAGTGTAATGCATACATCAACCTACCTACAACAGTGTAAAGCATACATCAACCTACCTACAACTGTGTAATGCATACATCAACCTACCTACAACAGTTGTAAGCATACATCAACCTACCTACAACAGTGTAATGCATACATCAACCTACCTACAACAGTGTAATGCATACATCAACCTACCTACAACAGTGTAATGCATACATCAACCTACCTATAACAGTTTTCAGTAAACATCAACCTACCTACAACAGTGTAATGCATACATCAACCTACCTACAACAGTTGTAAGCATACATCAACCTACCTACAACATTGTAATGCATACATCAACCTACCTACAACAGTGTAATGCATACATCAACCTACCTACAACAGTGTAAAGCATACATCAACCTACCTACAACTGTGTAATGCATACATCAACCTACCTACAACAGTTGTAAGCATACATCAACCTACCTACAACAGTGTAATGCATACATCAACCTACCTACAACAGTTGTAAGCATACATCAACCTACCTACAACAGTGTAATGCATACATCAACCTACCTACAACAGTGTAATGCATACATCAACCTACCTACAACAGTGTAATGCATACATCAACCTACCTACAACAGTGTAATGCATACATCAACCTACCTACAACAGTTGTAAGCATACATCAACCTACCTACAACAGTGTAATGCATACATCAACCTACCTATAACAGTTTTCAGTAAACATCAACCTACCTACAACAGTGTAATGCATACATCAACCTACCTACAACAGTTGTAAGCATACATCAACCTACCTACAACAGTGTAATGCATACATCAACCTACCTACAACAGTGTAATGCATACATCAACCTACCTACAACAGTTTTCAGTAAACATCAACCTACCTACAACAGTGTAATGCATACATCAACCTACCTACAACAGTTGTAAGCATACATCAACCTACCTACAACAGTGTAATGCATACATCAACCTACCTACAACAGTGTAATGCATACATCAACCTACCTACAACAGTGTAAAGCATACATCGACCTACCTACAACAGTGTAATGCATACATCAACCTACCTATAACAGTGTAATGCATACATCAACCTACCTACAACAGTGTAAAGCATACATCGACCTACCTACAACAGTTGTAAGCATACATCAATCTACCTACAACAGTTTTAAGCATACATCAACCTACCTACAACAGTGTATGCATTTTGATTGAGATATTTCAAACATTTCTCCAGGCACCATAGACAACAAATACAACACTTGAGACAGTACTGGGCACACTGGTTCTCTGATCCTTTTAACCTGCAACAACAAAACAGTTCATTAATGTCATTGATAGGAGACATATAAATACACAACAAATTCAATAGAACTTAAGTACAGAGGACACATCTAACCATTGGAGTACATCAGTAGATACATAGCCACCAGCCAACCTACATCTGTTAAAGGACAGGAGTATAGCATGGAGCAGTTTGTTCTGTCAGTACATGAGTATCATAAAGGATAGCTTGACCAGTGTAATGGTCATTTACGTGTTTTATAAGAACATGAGAATCATTCGGGGCAGTTTGGCCAGTGTGATGACCACTTACTTCTTCTGTAAGTACATGAGAATCATACGGGGCAGTTTGACCAGTGTGATGATGAATGCTCCAAAGGCAACAGATCCCAAGTGGTGGAACACCAGCAGACTAATAGAATTACACAGAGCACAACTCATAGAACTCTTCTCCCTGTTAAAATAATCAAGAAAGACAAATACAGTTAGTCTTATATTCTTGTCAAAAAGACCAAAACAGCTCTTTACAATGAGCAACAACTTGGAACAATTTGGAGGGAAATTAAGTGGAAATTCAGCTACTGAATATATGTGTATACTCTAGACATGAAAAATTCAGAGGAAAGAGAAATGATATATCCTAATACCCTGGTGTTTGCTTGGAATGGCAATGACTTAATTCACCAGCACATTCTTCCAATGACAAGGATAAAATTATTTGTAAACTCTGAAGTGTTTTTTGTAAATCCAGATTGACTATAGACTGACCTTGTAAAGTACCATGTAGCTACAGCCCCGGAAATGACGAGTTGTTGACAAGCAATGATGAACTCACTCGTCCAGATCAAGCCTATCAGGTGATACCACCACAGGTAAGACACTGTCTCATGTTCATCATACCGCACATAGTTATTCTCACCAAGCGATGCTTTTTCTGAAATATCAAATGTTTTTAATATCAAATGTAGCCAACAAAAATTTAGTCATACAATTAATTCTGAAAATTTCAATCAGTTTTATATAATCCAGTATTTCGTAGAAAGACTACAAATAACACTAAGACAAACAAAGAGTTCCTAGACAGATTTTGTTGTACTTTACTTTATTGATATGTTACCAACGCTATGCAACCGTCATCAAGACGACTTTTACAACTTTCATATGCCCAGAAGTAAAATTTTGTGATTCAAGATGGTTACAGTTGTTAGGTTAACAGTGAGACGTGATGCATACATAACACTATGACGTCATAATTATCTAAGGACTATTGTGATTCACTGTGTTATTCTGTAATCAATGGTAGTGTATTAACCTATCAGCTTCAATCAAGTATAGAAGATAGTTAATGTTATTACACAGTAATGTAAGGAATATTGCTTTTAACAATCTAGCTTTCTGGATAAACTTAAAATTACTAGTAAATCTAATAGTCTCGCAATTGTACTGAATAGTGTACATCACATGCTTCAAATTGTCATTTAAAAGTGAAAATTTGACAAAACCAATAAGTAATTGGAATATAACAGAATCAGAAACATGATTTTGTACGTACAATGACAGGAGCCAGACAGGAAAGTACATCACCAATTTTTACCTGATGTGGAGAGATAGGCCAGAATAATGACCCAGTAAACGAAGAAAAGTATGAGAATAAGGAAAGTCCATAACGGCTGTATCAACAAACAGGGCATAGATTGTACACATTCTCCAGCCTCCTTAAACAGTGCTACTACCAGGGCAATCCTCTTCCTCATCACCAGCAGAATCAGTAACAGGATCACCTACAAGTCACACAAATAAACCACAACTACAGACAAGTCACACATCATTACCTTTCAAAACCATTAACAAATCAGGTTTTACTTTAATGAAAGATAAATGTAACTGACACCAACTGTATATATTGACCTTTATCTTAATTGATCAACTTAACTCAAGTTATAACATGGTCTAATGACTGAATCCTCAAAGCCACCAGAAAATGTGACATAAATATGATCTATGACAGCAGTAGGTAGGACTCTGCTCCTTATTTTAATGATTTGAAATATAATCTCAAAACTATAGTCCTTACAATCCTTGATATAAGAGATGAAGTGTAACTGTAAAGACTGTGGAGCTGAAGACACTTACTGTAAGGACAGTAGCAATGATAGAAAAGATTAAGAAAGCCTGCTCATTGTCCACCTCCACATCTAAAAGTGGTATTCTTTTCATCTGCTTCTTCAAGTCCATATCACTCTTAATTTCTGCGTAAGTCCACCACAGGAATCCAGTGGCCACTGAAACACAAAGCCAGGTTTATATCAGCTATTACTGAAACAAGATGTGTGCAATGTTCACGTCAGTTGTAAACAACTGTAACTATAGAAACTTTTATCCCTAAAGTAAGATATCAGCTGTGTATTCAGTGGTCCCTTCGGAGAGTAATCAATTTCAATTTAACATGCATAGGTGGCCCACATAAGGAGTTTAAGATCAAAAGCTATTTTTTTTTATTGAAGAATCAATCCTTGTTTAAAGTGTGTTCTTGAACTTGAACACATAGTCTTCAAAGTGTTTTAGTTTTTACACCCTGAAACTTGTCCTTTTATATTGCTGTTCAGAGAGAAAAGGACAATAAAATTTCCTAACTTGTGGAGAGACTTGATTTAACTTTGGTTCAGAAGAAAATGTTTCCTGTCAGCTCCTACATCTATAGGGGTACATAAATGATCTTAAAATTGCATTGGTTTGAAATCCGTAATTAAAACTGGTCAAGAACAATCCATTTTAATTAGATAGTGGTACAAATCAACACCTACCCACACTTCCAACAACGGCTAGTCCCATGATTACCCAGACAATGAAAGCTGCCAGGAACCTGATGAGCAGCACCATCAACACAGCAAATCCTGGGAAAGTACATCACAGTATGGTCAGTCAAATCTAGCATCTTATTGTTTACAAACATTTCTCATGTAACAACATTTGTAGAGTATACTTCTCATCTCCACATATGTAAAAATAAGTCTTTTGCCCTATCTAATCTAAATCCAACTATCATTAACAAATGATTTGAATGATAAATCTATAAAACACACAACAAAACAGTATATTACCTCTGATATTCCTAAGGACAGTAATTACTGGGTACATCAGATGAGTGTGGATTAAATATTTTTTATAAAAAGTTATAAGAAAACTATACATGTAACAACATGAAGGGCAGTTGTATTATTCAATATGATCTACCAATAATAATAGCTCTCTTACTATGAAAACTACCTAAATATTTTCATATATTACAGTATGTATCTTAATCAAGGTACAAAGGATTGCCAAATTATACAATTGTAAAGGTATTTAATATTTCATAATTTCTTCTCAGTTTCACAAGTTTAGTCCTGTTTTACACCTGTAACTATCAAATGATGGAGATACTTCACCCATTTGTACACAGTCTCGTCTGAAGTCAAACCCAAAAATGAAATATTATCTACCAAATATTGTCTTCAGTGAATATTTACAAAAAAAGTCCTGTACTTCTTTTTTTAATGTCTATCCTATCTCACGCCACCATTAAATCCAGATCTATTAGGTTCTTAATGGCTTACAGTATGAATAATGAACTTGTGTCAAAACCTCAAAAAATTATAAATGAATTCCAGAAACAAAAATTAACAATTGAATAAAGATAGATACAATGTGGTAATGAGATTACTAAATACAAGATTTCTAGTTCATTGACTGTACTTCAATCACCCAGAAATGATCATTTGGTAAATCTAGTATCTCCTTTCAACATCACATATTTCTTAATGAAAACAATTCACAGTCCTCTACATTAAACTGTACACACTAAGAAAAATGTAAGGATTCCTAACAGATGAAGTAAAATAACTAAAACACCTACAGAATTTATTCAAATGAATGAATGCAAAAAACTACAGAATTAGTTCAAAGCCGTTAATGCAAAATAATTGCAACACATGACACAGCAATTACTGGTTTGTAATATGGTCAGCAGTACAACATTACAAGGACGGACTCCAATAAGCTGACATATTACACTAACAAATCAAAGTATTTTTGTAATAACTTGCAAGGGCAAAATTATGTCAAGTGTAATGTATATAACAAAAGGCAAGAGGTCCAATAGGCCTGTCTTCCTCACCCGTTATTTGATCTTTGCAGGATCACCTATCTACCAAAATTGGACCAGAATAACCTCAGGGTATCTCCATTTTCATGGTGGCAAGATTCTCATTAATTTCAGAAAACGACAGGTTTTTAATTATACCTCTGGGACACGTTAGTTATGATGAATTTTTAGTATCAATATAAATTTTCAGAACAATCTGATGGTTACGTAATTTTTGGCTAATGCTGATATTCCACTCCAGATATTAAGTTTGAGTAAGTACATGTATAGTCTAAGGAGCTCAAAATGTCCAAAACTTAAATTGACGACAGACATTGAGCCATGGAAGATGTTTATATTGCCTTTATGGCCAAATGAACTTACAAAATCCAAACCTAACCAAAGCACACATATGCATTGATTCTACAGCGTATATTAAACTGTAAGGTAGGCCATGCTAGGAAAGCGTGCTGTATCTACCAAGCTGGGAAGGTGTGATCCCAAATCTGTAATGGTGCCCTAGCAGTAATAGTGATCAGTAGGGTGGTGTTTACTGATTCATGTTGTCTTCAGGTAATTTTATTAAAAGTCAATATCTCCTTTTGGGAACCCTAAATTAATGATCAGAAACAAAGAAAACTTTGTCTAAAAGAAGAAAATTCAATTCAATTTGAGGTCTGATTTGCCTGATAAACAATTCCCACGCCGAGATATTCCATTTGTTTACCAACAATAGACAAAATCACTGATTCTCATCACTTACAACAGATATCATCCTGCCTCTAAAATTTACTATAAATTCTATAACTATCATACATTAATACTATCATTTCCTTCGTCAATATCCTCTCCAATACTAATGCCCAGGTAGTGATTTCACTATAATTTCTGTCACAAACAATTACTACACTTCATTCAGTAAGACCCATTGATACTATTTACATAACCTTTAACAAATTAACATTTTCCCATTCCAACATACCTCCCTCCAGTAATTGACTTTCTTCTACTCCTATTAAGTCCTAATAGTGTTTACTTATCAATTCGAATCCTCTTCCTCCTCAATGATCATTAAAATGATTTTTATTTCTGTAAATCTAATCTCTCCCTATTGATGAACATTTATCTCCAAATTACTTACATCACCCTCTACTAATTAATTACAGTAAGATATCTCCTTTCACCTCCCTCAATTAGCCAAGGACACTTTTACATTTGTCCACTTTTTTCTCCCTCCATTAACTGAACACTTTTCATCTGCCCCTGTCAAACAATTGGTTTACCTTGCTGAATTATCCAATAATTTTCGCCTCCTTCCACTGAACAATTGGCTTTATGTTCCTACATTAACCAGTATTTGTACCTCCCTCCACTAACTTTAACATCCGTTCTTCAAACAACAAATTTCACCTGTCTCTATCAATCAATTAATTCTAACTGCCTACATTAACTGATTATAGCATAAGCCTTCCTGTAACTTATAACATTTACCCTCTTTATTAAGCAAATACTTTTAACTCCCTTCACTAACCATTTACTAAATGAACATATACCTTTTATACTTGTCCATCTCTCCACTAACCAATAACATTGATCTTCCTATGCACCAGTTATTCTACCCCTCTCCACTAACCAATAACTTTCAATTTCTTCCATCGATCAGTTGCAAAACTTACTTGAACTAATCCATATCTATATATGTCACTTACTTGTCCTATTATCATTACCTTCCGTTTATTAACGTCACTCACCCATCCAATTATAACTACCTCCTTGACTAAAAGCCAATTCCTTTTTCTTCTGCCACTAACCTATCACTGTTCCTCCCTCCACTAACAAGCTAGACTGTTACTTTTACCTCTCTAGCCTAACCATTTCTACTATTTCTCCAAAGAATGAAATGACATAATCTTCCCCAGAGACAATCAGTGCTATATAATTCAGCAGTGTGTAGGAGTCAGTGTCACCTTGTCCAATGAGCAGATGTTTTCAGTGATGATATATCAATGACCATGAGTGTTGCCAGTGGGAAATAGCAGTCCTAGAATTGTGTTAGCATGCATTAGGTACAGTGTTAGGTTAATGGGTTATGTCTATAACTCCAAAGATAAGTTAGTGTATAATACAAACAAGTGGCAAATTAGGTCATCAAAAGCGTTCTCCTGTTTTTATAAAATAAAATGGCCTCACTTAAAATTAATGTTTTCTTCTTCAAACAAAACAAAATATCCTGGCTAAATTCTTCTGATTATAAGAAAAAAAAATTTCTCTGAAAAAAGAACATTCCAATGTAAAACTGTCTTATTGTTGCCTTATAGAAGAAAACCTGCAAAAGCTATAATATATCAGTAGAATATGTTAACAATGATTAGAGGTTAAATAGTTAATAAATCAGTTAATGATGAAATGCATTTCCAAAGTAGTTTTTCATTTAAATTAAATAAAGGATGTGTCCAAACTTTTAGTGCAACATATCACTAGTCATGCCAAAAGAAAATGTCATCATGTATTCAATATATTTCTTCCAATAACATATACTAAACATGAAATTAATGTACCCTTTTATTATCAATCCACTCATATTTAAGCACTGAAAACAGCCTAGCCGTTATTCATGTATTTCTTCAAAATTGAATTTTCTCATTTGTTTTCATTTTTTATCAAAATTTTTCCAATATTCCATCTAACTATAGAGGACACCTGAAGTTTCTTAATGAAACCAAATGTTGACAATACACACCATACAATGAATTAGAGCAACCTGGATTCCAATTATCAGAAAGAAACATGTTGTTTTCTAAAGTCCCAACATGTTCCAAAGCATGTGTTCCTACATACTGAGTACTTTATATGAAATATTGAATTCTTTTTTGTTATGAACAAAAGATAGGTGAAATTCCTTCAATATTATCTAAATAATTCCCTTAACCTAGGGGTATGCTTTATCGTGTAGTATTTTGAGATAAAAATACTAGCCTGGTATGTAAGGGGAAAAAAATGTAAAAAAAATAATAATTCTGAAAATTTTAATAAAAAGTTTTGTTTGTTCTTCAATGGCAGTTTTCAATTACTCTTACACAGCATGAAATAGAACCAATATCATGTTACTATTTTGTTGTTTCCTGTATTTAAAAGATGCAAAATGACATTGTTTTTGGCATGAATGAGGCTTTCTATAGCTGACTGATGAGGTAATAAAGCATAGCAGAATAAGGCTGTGATTCACGATTGGGAGTGATGGGGATCCTGTAGTCACAACAGTGAGACATTAGACACATACCAAATCCTGGTCATGTACAAGGAAACAGGAAAAAGTGTTTAACAATTATAGTAAGATCACACAACATCATAATAAATTATCCTAGCTATCAGATCGAAGATGGAAGCCACTGAGATACGGTTATAGCAACAAGTAGCATTTAACAGACTTTCTAATGAATTTATTCTTTCTTCTTTGAGAATGTACAAACATAAGACAATATTTATATTTTATATAAAAATGAATTTTGAGGTAAGAATTACTTAAAATTGGAATGAGAAAAATTACATGTTTCAACCAATCCTCTTATATAGATACTCCATAAAATAATAGCAGATCCCATCAAATTTGACCCATAACTGACCATTCCCTGATTCCTACCACATTTTCTACTGCCCAATAAATAGCCATTACAGATTCTATCTACATTTATTTTTTGACCAATGACTGACCATTGCCAGATTGTACCCATAATATCTTATTGACCAATGACGGACTATGGCCAGATTGTA